AATTTAAATTGTTTCAACTAAAAATACTTATTATAAACAATTTTTATTCTCCGATAAATAATATTTTTTATCAATATTGAAATATGTGTGCTCGCAAGTCACAATTTTTCTTTAATAACGGTTTTTTTAAAATTTTTTACGCACTTAATATGCGAAACAGTTTTAAGATACTATCTCTTGAAATTTATATTAAAAACTGACGCATTCCTATGTCCCGGTCACTAACCGTTATATACGCACCAAGGTCAGAGGAAGACATATTATAAATAGATCCTAAGATACATAGAGTGCACTGTACACATCGTATTTGAATACTAGATAAATCATTTTGGCGTAAAACAAAACAACAAACTCTGATTTTCTAATCTTAGAAAGAAGCCAAGAACCTTAGATATTTCAAACTATTGGATCTAACAATCCAAGATTAAAATATCAAATGTTCACAGTTTCACCATGAGGTTGCAAATATAAAGGGATTCGAAAATTTGAGTTGACATTTGTGAAGATATTAATTAAAGAATTAAAAAAAGAAAAGACTGTTGCTTAGAAATAATAATTCGAACCAACAAATTAACTCAAAATTGTTCTACGCCATTTACGAAACCAGCTGGTTCCGAGACCGGGGTTCATGTCTTAAAGTTTGGGATCAAAATGGGGGGGGGGGGGTGAACACTCTATTATTAAACTCTCTTCTCTATTACATAAAACTATTGTGGTTTTAGAACATTTAGAAGGAACCAAGAATTGTAAGGATTTATCTGGAAAGGAAATGTTCACGTGATTTAAAGTGACCTCTCACTTAAACAGTCATAAACCCGGTTCACAACAAGGAAGACGATGTCGTCGTTTTTTTAAACGGAGCGTTTATTAGAATTACTCTTAAATCCTTCACATTCAAATATTTAGAAGTGAACTGTAACATCTAAATCTACGAGAAAAAATATGTATTTATAAGATATGAGATTTTTCAGTTTTACCTCGTGGAATAAAAATCGTTCACATAGATCCAGACCAAATTTTTTTCTCGAAATTTCGTGAAAAAGGAATTCGGCATGAATGTATTAATTGCGCTAAAAAATTCTTTGCTCCTAGAGCTCACATTAGTATTTTATTATATCATAATTAATCATTTCTTATCTGTATTTTTTTTGTAAACTTTTCGCATTTTTCCCTAGATTAGAAATTGTCGCATTTTTTTTTCTCGAAAATTTCGCATTTTTCACAAAACAGATTAAAGCAAAATTTTGCAAAAACTGCCAAATTTTCGCGAAACAATTTACCCTATTTGCTGGAAGTCCTTTATTTTAACTCTTGTTTTTAGCCTTATCTTAAACGAAGTAATTCGTAAATTCTCAAAGATTTTGGCGCGAGAGCTTGAAACCTTTGGATTACTGTGCGTTTTGTGTAAATCTCAATGGTACAATATGAGAAATTGGATTTTCAAGATTGTATTAGTCTCCAGTCTCTACCCAGTCTTTTCAACGCATGGTAGACACCTTTAATTTTTATCTACAAGCAAGGAAACTTTACCAAGAACTTACTTTATTTGTTCAAAACAATTTCAAATGACCCTCAATCTATAGAGTGGCATGTTCCATTCTCAAGGGTGAACTTACTCTGATCTACATGGAATGAGATATTCTCATTTTCTAGCTTAAAAATTGATTATTTTAGTTGAAGTTTGAATGTAAACATAGCATGTGGGTTTATGCGGTTGAAAAAAGGAAAGAAATTGTGAGAATTTAACACAGAATTTAGGATTTTAAGACGAAATAGCTTTCTCTTTTTTAACAGGGTAATTATAGTTCATAGGAACCGTTGTGAATCGTAAATTCCCTGAAACCACTTCAATAAAATTAAACAAATCCCATTATACCATTATTAAATAAATTTTCTTGGAATTTAAATCTGAACGGCATTGATTTTGTTGACATTTATTGTAGAAATTGCAGAATCTACACTTTTTGTTTTGTTAACAAAGGAATTAAGTTTTTGTAGCAAACTCAGATTTTCTAACCCCTATATCCTTACAACCTAATGTCGTAGATCTTAGATATTTCAAACTATAAATTCTGTTAGACCAATTAAGCAAAGTTTGAAATATCACAGGTTTACACCCACAGGATTCAATGATGAGTTCTGATTCTGAACTTCTGAGGTAGGGTATAATTGACAACTAGGTAGGACCGTAGGGGTAGTTCTATTACTTCTGCCGTTCCATTTTTAACGCAACTTTTTCTATTTTTACTCCCAAAATATTTTCGTAGCTTTGCTTTTTTAACTGCTTCAGGACAATCCTCTGTAACATTTTTACACAATATTTAAAGAGTTAAAAACATCATATCATACATTTATATAAACTAACAAAAATGTACTTGAAAAATTCATTCGTTTTTGCTGAAGATCTGTTCTCCCTGGTGGAAGAAAATAGTTTATATCATTACATACATGACTACATTTATTTATATGTCACAGCTAAGACAAAATGACAGGCAAGTCAGTCGTGACGTATTTTATGAGTGATATTGTGCAGTGCACTTGGTTATTTACTCGTGGTTAAGAGTACCATTAATACAAAGGTTAAAACATGATCAAGATTAGGGAATGCCGACGTAACTTTAAGTACTCCGATTGTGGGGCATGTCTGATTCACAACCTTCCTCTAGGCAAAACTGCTTAGACTATATTGTTGTGAATATTGAAATTAAGGTCACTGCATATTTAATAGACAATCCCTTTAAACAATATATCTTATTTTAGCTGTGTATTCTGTAATAATCCCTTTAAACAATATATCTTATTTTAGCTCTGTATTCTGTAATAATCCCTTTAAACAACATATCTTATTTTAGCTGTGTATTCTGTAATAATCCCTTTAAACAATATATCTTATTTTAGCTGTGTATTCTGTAATAATACACTCTGGGAATACAATGTCAACTATTTCCATTTTCTTTCTTTTATTGAGTTAGGTTACATATCTCCATATTTATAAATGAGAAATTAATTTACTCAGACAAAAAACTTTTACTTCAACGCGACAATTAGAATTTTGTTTCTCCTTCTAGATTTTTATACATGCGTAAACATATTACGCATTTAGAGTACGATATATAAAGAATCTTCAATTAACGGAAACACAAAGAACCCTTAGTCAAGAGAAAATCTAGATATTTACAGGCGAAAATGTTTGGCTAAGATAGTGCTTAGCCACAGCAACTGAACTAAATATCCAGAGTTAGAACTTTTGATTTGAAGGATTAACAAAAAAGTCACAAAGAGCTGATTAACCATCTTGTTGTTTGTCCTAGCACTCTTATTTTTAATCACCTTGATTATTTTACTTTTAAAGAATAGTAATTTAAAGCATTTTTGCATTTTTCTTTTATGCATTACAAAGTGTGTTGTCCGTAGAAGACGATTATTATTGTTTACACAGTATGACTCCGCCATGTTTTTTTTTGCTCAACACATTGATTAATAAATCAGTCTCATTTATTTGTAGAGTTTAAGATCTGATCTCTACAATTGGTGCCGCGACCTGTTTTAATTTGCTTATTAAATCTTTGTTGTATCGATACTTTCAACTATACGGTGTCAATACTTTTTCTCTGCTGCTTCCTTTAAACTTAGTGAGCTCGTCCAGTGTCTGACATCTTTGTTGTTTGTCACCATTTTTATTCTCTCTTAAGCCGGCTTGTTTTGCTTTTTTTTCAATACTGGTTGAAAGGCCAAAAACTTTTGCAGAATGAGTGAGAGAGAAGGTGAAACCAGACATGAGGACGAAGAGGGCAAGGGCAACTCAATGCCAGCCTCAGTGTCCGCAGTGAGTTTGAATTTTTGTCTTCCAGAATTCTATTCTGCAAATCCTAGGATGAGGCTGATGGTGTGGAATCTTTTTTTCACATTAAAAAGGATTGTAAAACCAGACTGATATCAGACTACTCCAGGCCATAATGGACGGTATGTACATGTACTTGTACATGTACTTGTACATGTACTTGTACATGTACTTGTACATGTAGCTGTGCATGTATTTGTACATGTACTTGTACATGTACATGTACTTGTACATATACTTGTACAAGTACTTGTACATGTAGTTGTACATGTACTTGTACATGTACTTGGACATGTACTTGGACATGTACTTGGACATGTACTTGGACATGTACTTGTACATGAACTTGGACATGTACTTGTACATGTACTTGGACATGTACTTGTACATGTACTTGCACATGTAATTGTACATGTACTTGTACATGTACTTGTACATGTACTTGTACATGTACTTGTACATGTACTTGTACATGTACTTGTACATGTACTTGTACATGTAGCTGTGCATGTATTTGTACATGTACTTGTACATGTACTTGTACTTGTACATGTATTTGTACATGTACTTGTACATGTACTTGTGCATGTATTTGTACATGTACTTGTACATGTACTTGTACATGTACTTGTACATGTACTTGTACAGATACTTGTACATGTACTTGTACATGTACTTGTACATGTACTTGTGCATGTACTGTACATGTACTTGTAAATGTACTTCTACATGTACAAGTACAATGTGGGAATTGGACATGCACATTCTACTTCTCACTAACTTACTTCATTACAGTTCCTTTAAACTAAAAAGTTGGAGTAAATCATTACTTTGATGTTACTTATTATTTTTGAACATAAATCATTATCAACAACGTAAAACATTTAAAATTCTTGACATTTTTAAAAATATTATGATATCTAAAGTATATGGTTGAAAGTAAAAACACAAAAAATATAAATAATCAAGATTATGAGAATGGCTTCTTTAGAAAAACTTCGAAAGGGAACATGAGATGTTTGTAAAAGGGAGAAATTAAAATAAAGTTTTCCAAATTTAGCATATTATATTCACATAAAGTACATATATTATATTTACAATAGAAATAACATATCAAAAAAACATCACATCTTAAATATAAAGAAAGATAAATGGGTAGATATATTTTTCAAATGTTTTCATAATTCAGTGTAAAAACAAGTAAATTTTACAAACATGAGAGGTTTAAATTTGTGGTTGAACAATTAAACTTATTAAATCCTTATTTGAGATCTCTTATATGAAATAATACAGTAAGAACCAGTATAAAGTGGAATAGGAAGACGACTTTTAAATAGTTCTTTGAACATAAGATAAAGCTATTTTGCAGTGTAAACAGACCCGTTTCTTTTAATCAGCTAAATTTCAAGCTACCAGATTACAAGATCTTGCTTTAGCTGTTTATACATTGAATTCCCATGATAACATATTTGTCATTAACTGTTAAATAGCATTCCCATGAAAACAGACCTGTCTTTAGCTGTTACATTGCAATATCATAATAACATATCTGTCTTTAGCTGTTACATTGCATTCCCATGATAACAGATCTGTCTTTAGCTGTTACATTACATTCCCATGGTAACAGATCTGTCTATCTGATGTGCTTGGCTGTTAGTTCCAATATCGAGTCTAGACATGGCGAACACCGTCTGTTTCCTGAAAAATAAACAATAATACAATGGCGGCCATAAAGCTGCAACATGGAAAGACGACATTATAGCAATTGATATATTTCATCCAGTGGCTTAAGCCTAAGTGAATTGCACAACTATATACAGCTACCCACAAAGGATGAGACTGTAAAGACGACTTAAACCTCTTAAAATTTTACAATCCCAAGTCTAAATGAAGTTATTTGCCTAGAATGCGGTGGTTCTAATGGCTTTTTAAATTTCATAATTGGAAAAGAAAGAAACAAGTTTACAGTTGAAGAAAATAATAAATTAAAGAAAATACAAATTTTGTACAATTGTCTCTAAAGTCGCATCCTTTGTTGGTAAGCTGAGTCTAAACTAAAGAACGAAAAGTTTTGACTTAAATTTTAAGTTCATGGTTAAATGCCACTTCTGACTTAATTCAAACCTGAACTTTAACCGGTAGGTTAAATATTTAACCCTTACCCTTTGGTTAAATATTTAACTCGCCGAAATCGACGAGTTAAAATTTAAACACAGGGTTAAAATCCCCTAGTCTATTATCATTCAGCGGCATTCAACTAATTATGATATATTATTTTCAAAAGTAAAAACTTGATTCAATAAATTTCACGTTTTAGATTAATTAATGTTTGCACGTAAACCCAAAATACTGTGTAACTGGAAATAAGTTTTGTTTTCTGTCACGTAAATAATTTAAAATTTAAAAAACAGCTGATTGCCGAATACCGATACTAACGTAATAATTCTTTAAATCCTTTTCTCTGATTGGTTTAGATTTTTCCCGGGAGATTCAAATTTAAAATTGAGAAAGTTTAATATTTAAGTAGCTACTCATTATTTTACAGAACTTTTAACCTCGAACTTAAAATTCGTGCATTCTTTAGTTTTAGACTCTGTACTTGGTTTCAAAATTCAAATCAACGGAAACTATGAGTTCCTGATAAAAATTTAATGAATACAACAAAATATGTTAAACCAATAAAAACTAATTTATTGATGAAGTCTTGTAAGAAAAAAATACTTTTTTATTACTGTAAATATTTAACTAGATACCGAAGTCATGTTAAATGTTTATTTCGAAAAGAGTAATGAATGAATCTAAAAACGTATTTTCAGACTCAAAAACACTGATTTTTTGAAATAATAACCAAGTCAAATATATCTTAAAAATCAAATTTTCGAATATGTAAAACCGTTCAGCTTGGGATTTAAGTTTAATGTTTATTCTCTCTCTTAAAATGAAAATATTTAGAATAGAAAAACAAATATTGACTTTGAAATTTGAAAAGAATTTTTACGAGGAGGCTGTGCATATAGAAGCCTTAATAAAAACTGTTGTAAAATATATTGAAAATAGTTTTTGTACTAAATGTGTATATTTCTTTCAATTTTGGGATTATCAATGAATTCTACCACCAAAGAAAAAAAATGTCGAAAGCCCTATGTAAGTTAAAAATTATCTAAAGTTTACAAAACAGAATGAAAATGTGGTCAGAAAAATCTTGCTATTTGGAGCTACTTTTTTCAATATCCAGTGTAGTAGATTTTTACACAATTTATATTTAAATTTTTATTTATGAAAGTTAGGATATAATTATGAATTAGACGTGGCACTCTACAAATTGAGGGTCAGTTGATATTTGGCCAACAGTTAGGGTATTATTATTTGGCTATCAGTTCCATTAAACTGAGATGAATATTGGACTGCAGGTTGAGCATTCTGATTCCCAGTAAAGGAATTGATGATTCTGGATTAAAACTTTATTAATTATACTTAAACCAAAGAGGATATAGGCTCAACAGTGCGATCATGATTTACATTTTCAAACAATTTAACTTATTTTATTTTTACATAAACGATAGCTTTTGCTTCGATACTATAATTTTGTAGTTTCGTTTAAAAAAGCTGAACACCAATTTTTAATTAGTTTAAACTTTAGTAATAATATCCTCAGCAGAGCAAACATCAATCATAATCATATAATGATAACAATGGAATAGAAAGACGACATTTTAGTGTATTTGATGTTGTTACAAAGTAAATAGGTTTACTACGCTTATTAAATCACTATTTTTGTGAATTAGGTCTGTTTACACTACACATTTTCTGTTTCTCATGCTCATCAGACTTTTCAAACTTATAACTTGATTCTAAATCTAGAAAGTAATTAAGTTTTTGCCACAAACGCTGATTTTCTAAACCCTTTATCTTTTAAACACATAATTCAAGACCTTTAATATTTCAAACTATGATTTATGTTAGATCAAATAATCTAAGTTTCAAATATCAAAGGTTTGAACCATTAGGTTGTAAAGATAGGAATTATAAATTTTTATTTGTGGCAAACACCAAAAACACAATATCTTTCCTTTTGCTATTCCAAGAAAGTATAACCTTATGAATTGCAACAAAAAATGATTGGGACAATTTTCTTTTCGATTCGAAATTTTATCATCATCAGAACTGATTTCCAGCGCCCGGGTGCAAGAGTACATACATTTGAAAAAAACTTCTAAAAGGGAAGGTTAAAAATATTGAAAAAATCTGTCGATTAGCCATAATTAAATTGTAATTAATCGGTGCAGTTTTTTTTTGACTTTTTGAATTTTAAAAAGTAAAAATTACTGTAACAACCCCATAAAATTGCATTTAAATTCAGTTCTCAAATTGAAGAAATAAAGGTGTTTTAAACTGACAACCACAATTTCAGTTTTTCATATCGTGAATGTTAATTTTCTAAATAATTGTTATTTGAAACTTTAGAAGATTAAGACAATATCTAATCAGTTAAAAAATATTGACAAAATGTTTGAATTAAAGTTATGTTCTGACACTGAAGCTGAAGCTGAAAATTAAACTTCGAAAAAGAAATATTGCTAAAATGAATAAATTAAACTTTTAAATTATTAAATAATTTTCGTTGCAGATTAATATGGAAAAGGGTGAGGTTGCTGAAAAACTTTAATCTTAATTCTAAAGACAATATCGAAAGTTTATCAAGCTTAATCTTTATGCCAAAGTTTCAAAAGTTTGAAACATAACTTGTCGTCGTATATATCAATACAAATAAGACGATTTTCGATTTTAATTTGGATTTATATCAAGCTTTTTATCAGTATGGATACAAAAAAAAACAAGGAAACAAAGAGCAGCGTCAATGAAAAAAGCGTCTCTTTGATTACTTGTAAACTTGAAATTCGAAAAAGCTTGTAAACTGAATAGCTGTTTAACTGGAAAGATTAATCCTTCATAATCCAAGTAAAACAAGTCTTTAGCAACCACCAATTTTACTACAGTATTTGGCGTTTATATCGATAGAATGAAGACGACTTATTGTTAGTAAGACTTGATCTCCAACAGGCGTTTTTATATTGCAAGTTCAAATGTGAACAAAGAACCTTGGTGAAAACTTCTCTTGGTTTAAATGTGTTATTTGTTTTTTTCTTTGCTGTTGTTTGAAAGCTTGGAAGGCAGCCTAAATTTAAATAGAAAGTCGTCTGCATTGCATTGAAATATACGACAACGACGCTGCGACCCGAAAACCGGAACCTTATCTAACTCAAAGTATCTAATGACTAAATTATAGTTTAAGTTTTGCATTTCATTGTGCGGGATTTTTGGGTTGTACACATTTGTGAAGGAGGGATACAGTTGTGTATTAGAGAGGGGTGGGCAGCCAACATGAATGTATTCCATAAACATCTTATTTAGGTCAAAAAAGGCTTGGCTGCTTAAGAATTCTTTTTGGGAGGAGTCTCTAAATTGTATAAATGTTATGTTTTAGTTAAGAATTTCGACCGAAAACCTGCTATTTTATCGTAAATTCTTAAAATATTGATTTTTCAACACGCTACTTTGACTAAATCATGGGTTTCGGCGGGCTGCCGGCCCCCCTAAATTTTCTAAATGGCTGTTAGAATCTATTTATATGTTTATATTATCACAAAACCACTGTGCTTTCTTGCACTGTTACTATAAAGTATATGTTTTTTCCTCGAAATAGTGCTATGTAACAAAGACGACATTCTAAATTCTCGCAATATTTTGGGGAATTGAAGGATCCATTAAAGGATAAACATATAAACGGGTAAAGTATTTATAAATTGAAATCAATATTTTTCAATGCAAGCTACAATTCATACAATGTACATTATATTCTCTTTGGTCGTAGACATTAGATGTTTTAAACTATAAGTTATGTAAATGAAAATATTTTCAGAATATATTCATTCTTTCCATTCGCAACTTAAACACAAGACAAATGCATTTAAAGAGGATTATTGTGACATGAACCAGTCACCCCCCCTGACCCCCTGAAATACCCCACCAAGGGGGGGGGGGTAGGCCATGAAAAATGGTTTTTAAACCTAAGAAAACTAAAAGTAAGAGAACCTGTTAATTCTCTCCCAGTTAACCGTAGCTTGAGGAGTACAACCCATTACATTACAGAAAACCAGTCTTGACAATTAATCAATCAACAATTTAATTAGTTAACAAAATTTTTAGAACAATCAATTAATTAACAATTCTGCTAATTCCGTTAAAAATTACAACATTCAAAAATTAATCAGATTAATTATCATTTTAAATCGATTCTCAACAATAAAATCCATAAAAGATTAATTAATTTTCTGGCCTTTCAAGTCAATCAATCCATTTATATCTAAATGAATTTACCAACCTGCAGGCTGCAAATCAATTGATTAGCATAAGCCTTTGATAATGATAAATATTTTTTCTAACCAATTCAAAACCATAATCTCGAGCATTGTCATATTTGCATGGAGAATATCTTGAAATTGCATTTACAGTCTCTTAAACTTGAAACCATTTTCATTCAAAATAACCGTATAATATAATTCCTATGTGTTTCTCTTTTAAGATTGAATATTAATATAATAACAATAATTAATTGATTTCCTGAATTTTCTATCTTTCCAGCAGTAGATGATGAGGTTACAAGATGAACTGATGACAAGGGTAAGGTGGGAGAATATAGACAGTGCTTCAGCCCTGAAATTCAAAAAAACTTTAATAACCTTACATTTATTTTACATTTTTGATAACTAATGTTCACATCTATTTAATTTCCAGGTTGCAATTTAGTTAGTTTTTTTTATTATTTTCTTCAATTTACAAGTTTAAATGTCAACTTTGATTTTGGAAAAAAATGTTTAGAAACGAATATTCAGGATTTACAGTAGCCAAACGCAGACATTTGCCCTTTCCCCTTTCTGTTTGAACTAGCTTGGCAATCTGGCACTACCCAGGTTTACTCATAGTTAATTCAGCCGTTTACCCGCACTAAGTCGATTTTACCGGGTTACTAAATTTTCGCTGTTGATCTGACACCCGTCTTGCTTTTTTCTTTCAACCCCCCCCCTCAAATTTCAATGATCATTCTTAATTAATAAAAAGCTGATGAGAAGCGCTAACATTTTTGATACTTCTCTTTCCAGCGGAAAATCAACTAAGCTAAAATTTCTTGTGTTCGAATTCTACGTAATTTAGCAATTGCCCCAAGGAAGACAAGATCACTTCCCCCCCCCCCCACGCACCCCTAAAAACACTATTTCTTTACAATTATTTAAAAGTGTTACGGAAGACCTCTTATAACTAAAGTCTATATTTGTACTTACCAAACCGGCCACCCTGTTTCTCCAGATATAAGCTGCCAAACCTAAAATTATCATATTCTTAAATACTAAGATCAAAATTAGTGAAAAATAAGAAATAGAAGTTGAACTAATATTATTGCTAGTTGAACAACGTCTCCCACACTACTAGAGTAATTGAACCATGAAAGGAGTAAACCAACTATTTGCACCAAGTTCAACTATTACTTGCTGTTTGTAAACTCCAGCTCAAATTCATCATAAGGGAGGGGGAGAAAAGGGACTCAGTTCACCTAGATAAGTGAAATCTATGATTTCTAGGGGAATACGAGTGAACTGGTTGCTGCTTTTTTAATATTATAAGTGATTTGTTTGCTGATTTCATAACTTTAACAAAGTGAGCTGTTTGCTGATTTCATAACTTTAACAAAGTGATTTGTTTGCTGATTTCATAACTTTAACAAAGTGAGCTGTTTGCTGATTTCATAATCTTATCGGAATACATTGTTTGCAGATTTAATATTTTTTTTCGAAATTTACAATAAACCCTTTTCTGTGATGAAAAACTAGAATCTAATTAGATGGGAGCCGGAGGATCCAAAATATCAAATATCTAGAAACACAATAAATACCCTTCATGTTCTCATCTTGATATTCAGAAGGTTTCTTCCACAAAATTATTTTTGCTTGCAAAATAAAAATATTATGAAAATATTTCTTGTGTAAGCTGTGTAGTTATATAAATTTGTATTGAATTACATTTTTCTTTGATGCAATGTTCAAGGATTTCAGAAGTTTTATTAAAACTATAAAAATGACACAGTTATTGAATACTTTAGTTTAAAGAATCTTTTTAAAATAATAATAAATTAAATCAAAAAGGATTCATTTGGGTACCGTTGTGAATCGGGCATTGCCACCTTTGTATGGAGGGTCACTTGAAATTAGGCTTACATACCCTTTAGCAGAAGACAATAAATCAGGGATTAAAAAATCGGTTCTAAAACGGAATTAAAAATCGTTTTTTTCAACATTTTCCCGCAAATTGCACCAATGATGATTGTGATAGAGTTGGCACTCTCCACTAACCCCTACTATATCTTCGGTCAGTTTGAGGGTGATGGAGATTACATCTTCAGTCCATTTCGTACATTTAAAGAAGAACACTTTAGTTTTAACAAAAAATTGAATATTTGCTAATTTTTGATCGTGAAAGGTTCTGGAAATTGATGTAAACAATTCGTTTTAAAGGATTTGCATTTAGTTAGAATAAAATAAACTTAATCAATCTTCTTAGAATTGTAAGGGTAAGGACAAAAAATGTGGAAAATGTTTTGTTTACATCAATATTTAAGTTTTTCTTGAGATGTAAAGATGGTGTGTCATTTTTCTCAGTACAAGGATAACAGTTGTTACTTTTTATAAGGTTCTCATTTTCTCATGTATAACTTAGTAACAATAATATTTTTTTGCCAAAAAAAAAATAAAAACGAAAAATGTGAATTTTTAAAGGAGCCATAAGTCCGAATTTAATGAATTAAAGCCCCGTCTCAATTCCGCCAAAAACCAGTTTCAATTGATCGCTGGCTTAAATCTTGAAAAATTTATTACAATTTAAAGTGGAACCATCCATATTTAAATTTAAGCCGCGGCTCAAATTTTTTTTAATTCGGACTCTGATTACTTTTTACAAAATAAAAATTGTTCTAATCGTCTTTAGAATCTGAAGTCGTGGATCTAAGATATTTTAAAATAGGAATTATGCTAGATCAGATTATCATTAGTTTTAAATATCAAAGGTTTTGCAGCATTGCTTGCAATGATATCTAGACAACCCTGAATGCAATACATCAAATTTTTAGACAGCGTCGACTTTAAATAGTCGCTACAGATTGGGCTACGGTTTCACCTTACCAAAGTAACTTATATTTTTTTCTAGCCCTTGGCATATAGATTCATGTCAACGGCCAATTTTTCTAGCGTCAGTTAAAAAAAGAGAAATTAGCAAAATAATTCTGGATTGAAAGAGAGGAGTGCACCTTGATAGCAATCAAAACTGACTCCTATGTTTTAAAACTGGAAAAAGTAAAAAAAAAATCCGTTAGAACTGGGTCATTTTCTTGATTTTTGAAAACTGCTTGATGTGTGATTGTTAAAAATAGCTAGTTGATCAAGGTTACGGTGCCCTTCTAAAAACGTATATGAAGTACAGGGTGTCCCAATAGACATGGGAATTTAGTGACGAATTCGATATCGTCTTTTCAAATAATTCTTTGATTTCGTATAGTTATACCTACTGAGAAAGCTGTAGTCAGTAGGGGTGTCGTCTGCTATATGTTCACATTTTGTTTGTTTATGTTTTGACTGCATTAGGGTGTACTTAGTAAAACAAGAAAATTGCAGTATACAAACAGACTAAACTTGTCCGTCTTCACTGTTCATCTTGCGGAGAGACATTATAGACACATCTTTACAGTCTTTTAACCTTTTCATAAAAAAATCTATGTTTGTCTGTCGATCCGACCAAAACTAAGAAACCCTTTGATCGATTTGCCTCAAATTTTGATTGGGAAAATCTAGAGAAGCATGGAAATGTTCTTATCTGGTTTTTAAATTATTAGTTGAGTGGGTTGACTTTTAGAGGAAGATTAGTTTTCAAGAAAAGCTGGGTTCCCCAAAATAGTCCCTTATAAAGGTGTAAAGCTTACCTCATAAACATTGATACCAATACGAGGTATATTACTCACAATAAAGAGGAGAACAACAAATATCAGAATCTTCCAAAAATTCAAAAATATTTTTAAAAAAGGACACAATTTAACAATTAACAATTAAAAAATAAAAGAATCTTTCAATAATTAAAATTCTTTTTAAACGATGTTTACTTTAATTAGCAAATTTAGTGCAGATGCAGAAAATGGTTTAGAATTCACGACATAAGAATTCGAAGTTATCTCCACTTTTTTTGACAAGACAAAAAAGGACTTTTTAAAATTCCTTCATCTTTGCAACCCAATGTCATATTTATGTTAATTTTGTTAGAACAAATAGTATAAGTTTAATATATAAAAGGTTTACAACATAAGTTTACAAAGATATAAGGATTAGGAAATAGGACAAAGACCCGATTACTTTCTTGTTTTTCGTCTTTCTGGTTTCTATCCAGTTTGATTCGCGAAAATGTTCAGGGGCCGAATTTAAAGAATTAAAGCTTCGGCTTAAATTTGAAGCGCGGCTCAAATATGGTTGGCTCCACTTAAAATTGTTTTCAATGTTTTCAAGATTCAAGCCGACGCTCAATTGAAACCGGTTTTTGATGGATTTGAGACGCGGCTCAAATTCATTAAATTCGGTCTTAGCATCAACGAAAATTAAAACTAATACCATTAAACAGCTTGCCAGCTTGGCGCCTTTTCAATGTACCCAGATAAGTGTAAAACCCGTTAACAGTTATACAAACCTGAAGAAACTGAGTCTTTGCTACAAAATAAAATGTTGTATTCTTTATGTCTTTGCAACCTGATGTAGTAAACCTTTGATATTTTAAACTTAGACTATTTGGTCTAACAGAATTTATAGTTTGAAATATCTAAGGTAGCATTATTGGGTAGCAAAGATAGAAGGATCAGAAAGTCAGAGTTTGTGACAAAAACTCGAATAAAAAATTTGATTTATTAATATTCTACCGACTTTCTTGGCAATTGGAAACTGCATTCTCATTGCAGTTCTATTTTAGACAGTTGTAATGTTAACCAGACAAAGACCGAATTTAAAGAACTGCACTGCCTACCGCCTACCGCCGGTTCAACCACCTATTCAAATCCCAACTTGACCTTTAACGGGGGTTCAAATTTGAACCAGCTGGAGGTAATTCAGGCTTTAGCAAGCAGCTAAAATTCTCTAAATTCGGTCTCAGGACAATAATTAAATTCTTCGGGTTTTAAAAAGAAAGTAGTTAAGTTTAGCCATTTTGTAACCTATTGCCGTAGTTAGACCTTTTGATATAAGGATTAGATCATTTGATTGATCATGTAGCGAAATCTCAATTCCTTCGCAAAAACTTATGTTAGTTGTTGCAATAAACCCATTTTCACTCAAAATATTAATTATGATTAAAATAAAAAAAAACCTTAAAACAAAAATTCTTTTAAAAATAATTTTTAAACCTAGAACAAGTGATGCATATCAAAAAGTAATAAATTAAAGAGATTCTGAAAACAATTTGTGCAAAAGACTTAAAATCTATCACTTGAAGATTGTTTACTTGACATGAACATGTAGTTTTTAAGTATTATGTGTAAACTGTTTTGATTTTTCATATTCTATGTTAGGTTGGGCTAAGACAATTTCTTTGCTGAGCGCTGAGGCTAGGATAGACAGGATCGGACCATACCGCTGGAGCCACAAATCTGGACAGAGTATTTTGTGCATGATATAATTACAAATTTTGTCCGTTAGTATTTTTTTTTTTGGTCGCGTTTTCGCATTTTGTCGTTTGACCCTATTAAATTTTGAATTTAAAACTCTATGATTTGTCGGTGTCGGTGTCTAAAACGGTTATTTAATAGAAATTAATACAATTAGCCAAACTAAATCAAAAAAAATTTAAATATTTATTTATTAAAAAAAAATACAAACGGGAAAGGATCCCTCTTTGTTTCAAAGTAATTATAGCCATTCATCTTTTTATAATTATCCTGTCCATCCTTTTGTGTAGAAGAAAGAATTTTTCGTCTTAGTAATCAATTAAGAAAATTGAACAAAGGTTTCGCATTTATAACAAATTTTGAAGAGGATAAAGTTGAATTGTTGTTAAATTATTCATTAAAGGGACAGACCGGCTATGTAAGGGAGTTCAACTGAGTATGCAGTGTTGTGGACAAATTCTTTAGGATTCATTTGAGACATTAAAAAACTTTTCCAAGATATATAATTACTGAGTTTGAGTGCAAAGTCGACGTTCAAAATTATGAATTTAGGATACGTTTTCAGAATCGTTTTTTTTTTAATTATTAGATAACGACGATGAAAAATAAAGTTAAGAATATACACTAAACTAATTAGATGGTTAGGAACATATTTCTCAAAAGAAATTTGTCAATAAATCAATGCTAGAATCAATTATTTCGTTTTCATCATTATATTGAATTTCTTATTTTCTTTAAATTTTTTCGCAGATTTCTTCAAATTCTTCAAATGTTGTCTTTCTCATAATAATTCCAAAAAATCTGCAGAAAAATCTTTGTGAATAATGAGAAACCAGACTAATGAGGAAATATGGACTAATAATTGGACAAGATTACTTATTTTCGATGAAAACATTAATTTTCATTTTCTCAATCTGTTCCTGAACAACTATTTAGTTACTTTAGAATTTTGTTTACCTTTTTTGTCGTCGTTATTTAATAATTAAAAAAAGACAATTTTGAAAACGTACACACCCAAAAGTACGATTTTGAACGTCCACTTTGCGCTCAAACTCAGGATTTACAGATCTTTAAAAAGTGTAATATGTCTCAAATGAACCCTAAAGAATTTGTCCACAACACGGCATAGCCGGTCACTCACTTTAAATACGGACATTGTATAAAATGAACTTTAAAATTCGATAAGCTTAATATTTCAAAGGTTTCCTCCGAATTTTAACAATAAAATAAAGAAAATAAAATAGATTATAGAAACTTAATTTTAAGAAACCGTCTATTTGTAGAGTGGAATATCTGATTTACAACGCGTGGTGCCAATAACTTGATTATTTTCGATTGTAATTCTGTTTTTTGCAAAAGAAACAATGGAGGAAATTGATAGAATTTATCTCCTTATAATCTAGAAAAGCGACGGTATCTTCTACATTACTGATAAGAAAAAGGTTCAAACAGTTATATTCTTTAAATAAAATAAATTGAAATTACAACTGCATTTCCTTTAAGGATTTAATGCATTACATTCTTGATTTCCTTTAAGTTTTAAATTGCAGTTATTTACAGACTTGATGGTACACGTTTATACCCTACATTTACATTTTACCAAAGCAGAAATTTATAAGTGGAGCTACAATGTTTAAAACCTATGGCTGTAGTTTTGGTCGCAGTGTAGTAAGTAAATGCCCTACTCCATAAGGGGATCTCAAATCCGTATCGATCCAGGTACAATTTTTCCGCTATCAATGTCAACAAGCACACAAGCTCAGCTATCAATGTCAAAAGGAACACATGCTCTGAATTGATCAATGCCAAACCAATGGGCACGATCTCGTAAGCTATTAATATCAATCGGATGCTCGTAACTATCAAGGCCAAACCAATGGGCAGGATTTCAGCTCGTATGTTTCAAGGAGGACCAGATATTAATGTCAACAGGGACACAAGCTCTTAATCTATCAATGCCAAACCAACGGGCAAGACCTTGTAAGCTATCGATATCAATTAAAAGCTCGTTTCTATCAATGCCAAACAAATGGCACGATGTCAGCTTGTATGTTTCAACGAGGACCAGCTATCAATGTCAGCAGGGACACAAGCTCTTAATCTATCAATGGCAAACCAATGGGCACAATCCCGTAAGCTATTGATATCAATCGGATGCTCGTAACTATCAATACCAAACCAATGGGCACAATTTCAGCTTGCATGTTTCAACGAGGACCAGCTATCAACGTCAACAGGGACACAAGCTCTTAATTTATCAATGCAAAACCAATGGGCTAGATCTTATAAGCTAGCAAGTTAAAGTTAATTTCTACGTCGTTATCTAAATCACGTGATTAAGATAATCATGTTATATTTTACAGCACAGTTAAAATAGGTGCAATTAAGATGTACGTCATTATATATACCACATGATTAAGCTAATCATGCTACATATTCATTTGAAGTGCAGTTCAAATAAATAATGGGTTTTACTTAGAAGCTTACAAACGTATGATAGTAAATAATGTACAACGTAGTTCAGGTTTACAGAATATTGTGTTACACGATATTTATTACAGCAGTACCTGACCCAGAAACATAAAATATGAGTTAAGCATTTTTTATTTAGAATTTTGTCACTTACGGAGTTTTCAGAAAATACTGGGCAATATTTTGCGCTCAATAAAATTATGATTCAAAAACATTTTATATGTTATAGTTGTCGATGGAAATCTTACATGCTTTTTATCAGAACTCCTCGTAATGAAGAGTTAGTGAAAAAAAAAACTAATTTAAATTTTTAGTTTGCAACTTTTTCCATACTTAGGCATAAAATCTAAAGAAAAGGAGTTACGATGTTACAAAGTCGTACCCTAATAATGTTGAATGAATTTGACTTCCTCCTTCTATCATTATATTCAGTTTTTACAGTGTTTGATGTATTATGGCGTTTAGTTTTATTAACCATGAATAAAGATATCAAACTTGCTTTTATAAATCTTAATGGAATGTTTTATAATAATTATATGAGAACATTCCTGGCTTCTTCTCTTTGCTTTTATTAGGCTAATACAATTTTTTTAGTATAAGACAATTTTCGAAAATAGTTTGTTGGATTTTTGAATTTTTCCCTTAGCGATTTGAAGATCTCTTTCCCTCCTCTTCGAAGAGACAATTGACCGATTTCTAAATAGAAGTTTATTTAAATAAATCTATTTTTGCAAATATTCCATGTTTATTTTTATCCTTGAGAGTTAACAAGGTTCCTAGTCACATCATCCAGACAGAACAAACACTAATCTGAGAGAATATCAGAAATAGGAAGACGACATTTACAATTAGATTTTCTTTATTTTTCTTGCGAGGCGGCGTAAGCATTACAGTTAAACTATGCAAGGTGGGGAAACCAATTTTATTATGAGCCACTTTCAAGAAAATAAAAATAATTGTTTCAGAGAATATAGATAAAAAAACAAATATTTTAGAACAAAATTTAGTTATAGTTTATAAATTATAACAATTTAAATGCTTAACTCCTTTAAATTCTTGAACTGAAGATTTCTTATATCATATATTGTAACAGTGGGCGAGTTTTGTTGATCTTTTACGATCAGCAATTCAAGGATGTTTTGGATCGCTGAGATCATAGCTACCAAGGGGAATCATGCCCCCTTTCCCCCCCCCCCCATCTTTAACCCTACGGTTGGACTTTAGAATCCTATTTTGAATACTAACGGATTTATTTGAGTTTGCATTTGGATTCTATAAATAACCCAAGCGACGCCGAATTTTCCGTTATCTTGAAGACCCAAGCGTTGGGGAGGGGGGCGGAACAACCCCGTGGTAGCTAGGGTTAAATGCGATCCTAGGATGGAGCGAAATCGAAGGGGGACAGACAGTTGTGATTCAGCTCCCTTGAATTAAGGTTCCCTTGAAGAATTCCCCTATCTGACGAAACCTATTTGATTAACAATATTTAATTTGTATAAGTGAGACGATGAAAATGAAAATGTAAAATGTCTCCTGTTTGATAGATCTGATCAGATTCACAATATCTCGTTTGTATTAGTATCGTTCGATTTAAAGTTTGTATCTTTTGTATATAAATATATTGTAAGAAAAACCGACGCGTTGAATATTTGAGAAACTCAGTGCATTGCTTTATTGATTTTTATTCATATACTATAATATATTATAAAATATGAAAAGAAAAATAGCCAAATATACACATTGAGTAGTTTTTGTTGTACTAAAGATTTTTAATATCACAATTTCCCAACCAATCATCATGGAAGCATCACATAAATTATGGATTTTATATATTTTAATAAATAAAAAATAATAATTTTATCTTACTGTAAGAAAATAAACTTAATCTATTAATATACTTTGCTTGTCTGTCTGTCTGTCCTGGTGTTTGTGAGATTTTTTTGTATCCAATAAAAGTCAAAACGGTTGAACCGATCGGGCCCTACTTTTGTGTTGTACCTAACATGAACTAAATTTTAAAAAATTGCCTCCATCAAAATTTGATTTTCATTCAATTTAAAAAAAAAATTAAATCTACAAAATTTTTTGCTGAAATCCGCGAACTTTTTTGTTATGTTTTACAAAGAACACAAAGAGAACATGTTCACAATTGAAATAGAAGATGGGCACGAAGCACCCTAAAAGACTAGTATATATAATCACAAAGAATAACAAGAAACTAATTATGTTAAATGTACATAGTTCAATTATACTCATGGTAATATAGTATACAAAACAGAATTTTGTAAACATTTACGTTATTAAATGACACAAATTTGTATTGCAAGGGGTACTAATGTATCTTTATTGTACAAAGATGTATCCTCTTGTCTTCAATGAACGTATAGAATGTCGGCTTCTAAATATATTCGAGCCTGGTGTTTGTCCAATCTGGATTAAGTGATAGTTGTAAACAAGCTTTAAAAGGTATTTGATCAAATTTAAAAGAAAAAAAAACTAAAAAGTTTTAAAACTTATAGTTTAAACACAAAACAAAATGTTTAAAGAACATCCCAAACTCGTGAAAGAAAACATGTAAAAATATTTCTTAAACTAGACAAAAATTAATAACCCTATCACGATTGGGTTTTTTTTTTTCAAAATAATTTTAAAACGGCCGACATAAAACTTTTTCACTTTTTTAACTTAATAAATGTAAACAAATTTTGCAAATAAAATTGTTTTTTTTTGTTGGATGGAAAGTCAAACGACGGGTTGGGTTTAAAAAAAATGAATTATAACTTTTTTTAATGGAGGTACAGAGCTAAAATTTAAATATTTAAAAAGCCATTAAAAAATTATCTTTAAGACATAATGAGCTGGACTTGGGACTTGTATTACACTCCCAGATCTCAAATGTAAAGTCAAAATCATAGGGGGAAGGGTGGAAAACACCCCTCCCCCCTTATCGGAAAAGATTCCCTCCCCCTATATATATTAGACAAAAATAGCCCAATCTAGATAGGGTTAAAACTGAGAAAATATTGCCAAAACTAAATAAATATCTAAAAACGTGGGAAAAATAAGCAAAATTATCAAATCTTGACTTAAATTGTAAAAGAATTGAGAAAATCGGAAAAAAAACTAATAAAAACATCCTATATTTTCAAAGGAATTGAGTCTTTGCCATAAACTCTGCTTTTCTAAACCCTATCAATGTCGTAGACCTTAGATATTTCAAGCTATGAATTTTGTTAGATCAAATAATGTAAGTTTGAAATATCAAAGATTTACGACATTGTGTTCCAAAGATATAAAGATTATAAATTCAGATTTTGAAGACAACAATTCTTATACTAAACAAATATTTTTTAAATTAAAGATATATTCATAAAACTAAACAAATTTTAAAACTAAACAAATTTTATTAAGAATAGACAAAATTATTGAAAACAGACAAAAATTTTCAAAACTGTACAAATATTTCAAAATTTCATAAACTTAAGTATTTCAAAACAATACAAAAGTTCTCAAACTAGACAAAGTTTTCTATTAAGAAAAAAACTTTTCAAAACTGAACAAATATTTTAAAAATAAGATAAACATTTTTAAAACTTGACAAATCATTAGATAATCATTATTTGAATATATTCCAAACAAAATAAAAAGTTTTTAAATTAAAAAAAAATTTATGCTGATCATGCAATCGACTATGTACGTGAATAATGATAAAAGTTTTTAGAATTAAATTTGTCGCTGGCTTACAAGAGAAAACCTGATAAACCTGATTGACATGATGATAAAGATTTTAATTTTAAAATAAGCAAAAATTTCAAACTTGAGTTTATTGAAAACAAAGAGATCGAGTGAGTCGCAGAATATTTGACAGAGACGTTCTGTGAATTAAATTCTAAAATTAAATATTTTTTCTTGTAAAATCGAAATCATATAATAGTTCTGAATCTTTTTGTAAGAAAGAAACTAATGGAAATCTTTGAGTTTGAATCTAAATATATAACATTTCTTAGTTTTCTCAGAACTTCAAGTTTGAATCTAAATATATAACATTTCTTAGTTTTCTCAGAACTTCAAGTTTGAATCTAAATATATAACATTTCTTAGTTTTCTCAGAACTTTTCGGCTTTTATACAAATCGAAGAGAAAATACAGTGAAAATCAGAAAACAGTGGAATAGGAAGACGACATTTAGGCAATAGTTAAGTGTATTCTTTGGTGTTACAAATAGTTTTACTTGTACCTTATCTATTAACTTATTAACTAAAATTCTGAGCTTTTGAAGAAAAAATTACTTGTCTGAAATTTTGCACAATTTGAAAACTATTCTTTAAAAATTCTGCATTATTACTTTTCATAAATTTTTAAAACTTTAGGAATTGTTTCCCTTTTCATGCTTTCGCAAAATTTGACTCAGACCAGACAATTTAATCGACGTCAACCTCTGTGAATTTTTTCTACAGTCTTTTTATGAGCTAGATATGTGCAAGTCACTTTTGCAGAGAAACCTCAAATAAAACTAGGGTTTCTATTCGAAATTTCGAGAAACAATTCCAGGAAATGATGAATAAATTCAAAATTGCGGAATTTCGTGCAAAAAAAGTCATTTCGTGCAAAAAAAGTCATTTCGTGCAAAACCACTCAACTGTTGCGAAACAGAATTGAATGTTTCGTGGAAACCTTAGATGAAACTGAAGAGACAGAAACAAAAACATGGATATCTAATTCGAATATTTGATTGCAGACAAAGCTTTTAAAGATGCCATTGTAAACCTCAATCTCAGGAAAAAATAAAGAAATATTTTCTTTTCTGTGATTCTCAAAACTTCCTTTATTGTCTTTGCAGCATTTATAAATCAACACAATTCGATAATAATAAATTCCATCTAAAAAATAAGGACTGAAGAGGTACTGTTGTGAATCAGACAGCACTTCACTTGCACTAAGGTCAAGGGAAACTACGCTTAAATTCCCTTTAAAGGGAGTGTTCGCTTAAAATGAGATGGGGTTTAGGGTGATATCGAAATGAATTCGATATTGATCGCTAAAAATTTTACTTTTATTTGTTACTTTTAAAAATAGTCATTTCTGAAATGTCGAGGAATGGTCGAAAATACAGCGCCAGCCGTGAAAAGAAGTATTAAGCAAAAAATTAATTAAAAATATCATGAAATATCACCGTTATACAAATGCATCGCATTGAATTCGACAATCGTAGTTTGTAATATCTGGATGGAAGTTCTGAGAGGAATAATGCAACTCCGTGAGTTTGTCTGGGTCCTAGTTCTTCGGCATGAGGTGTGTTTAACCATAACTCCTTATAGACGTAACAGATAGAAGTAAAATCAGTAGCAATTAATATCGAATTCAATTCGACGTCATCCTACCGCCTTTCATTTTTCGTGAACACTCCTTTTAAGAGTCTGTACTTGTAAAAATACCTTCTTATGATGAACCAGAGTTTAGTATTTAGAAAAACCAGGATGGCAATAGGAATCACTGTCATTGCTAAACTGTTTGCAATCAGAACATAGTTCCTTTCAGTCACCAAAATTTAAAACAAATAGAAAACGAATTTTGTCTGTCTGTCTGCATGTCTGTGTGCATCCAAATACGTCTAATTACGATTAAACCTTTTTAATTGGGCCCAAATTTGTTTGTCTAGATAAGTCCGGACTAATTTACTGTAAGTATTTAAATAGTAGTTTTAAAAGATGTTTACGAGTTGAAATAAAATTAAAAGAAACCCCTGGCCTAGGAAAGGCTTTTGGACGTTCAAATTTGAAAAATGGTTACTTGAAGAGTAACAGATATGAATTATTAAGCTAATATTGTTAATAAAAAGTTGGCGCCCTAAAAGCCCAGTATTATAGACTCGGGAAAAGGGGGAAAGTGCAAAAAGCTGATCGGATTTTGCCGTAACTCGGCCTTTAAGAACAGACATGGTAAACATAGCTTATATATCAACAAAGCTTTTTGGGGTTTTCTTTTTATTTTGTTTTAAATTAATCAAAACTCGAGGGTTTTATTTGAAATTTGGAGGCGTTTTCAGAGAAAAGTCTGACCGTGACAAGTAATTAAACTTAACAATATAAATTTTGATTATAATTTGTAGTTCGCATGGCACCCCGGATCAACCAGAGTGAGCAGCATTCGGTTTCTTCTATTTGAAATCAAACGTATTTTGATCTTTAATTCAACAATTCTTTTACCTTTCAGATTTGTTTATCTTATACTTTTCCATTCAAAATGTATATGCCGACAAAAAAGTATCCAAGAGAAAAGGCTAAAAAATTATGTGTAATTTTGATCGAAAGTCACAGCTTTCTGGAATATTGACAGGACCGTTAAATCCACGTGATGGAGAAAATAAAAGAAAAAAGTTCAAATGTATTTTTGTGAATTCCTGCAGTACGATAAACTCTTCCTCAGATCAGTGGCGCAAATTTCACTGAAATACATTTTTTTAAATCTAAATATTTTTTTCATGTTAGGTTTGTGCTGCATGTGGTNTCCCTTCATCACCCCCCCCCCCACCTACAAAAATATACCTGAATCCTGTAGTGTTGTGTGGAAACAGTTCATCTAAAATCTAGAGTTTTCAAGAAGTTGTTTCAAACTTTGGAAACTTTCTACAATAACAGATAAAATATCGTCATTTTTAAAACGTTTAAAAAGATTTCCGGTTTTCTTATCCCTAAAACTTTGCATCCTGAGGGTGTAAACTTTTCATATTTCAAACTTTGACAGCATACTTTAAGGTTTACATAATTAGGTTGTTAAAAGATAATGATTAGCAATTAGTTTCTTTTTGAAATATACTGAAAAGGGCGCCCTATACCTCCTCTTTAGACCTTTAAGTTTTGTATATTATAGGTGCCATGCATCATCATAATGTTAAACCCAGAAGTTTAATAGTGTATGGATAATAAAAAGAACATAAAATTTCAAAAAAAAATGTGGCTCCCCTTCCTCCCCATGTGTTTCAGTTAATTTATGTTCTTTCGAATTACAGCGTAAACAATGGATCGAAGTTATGAGTGGACACGTTCAGACACGATCGTAACCTGCTGATTAGCCAATCATTATCAACTTTTAATTTAATTAATTTAATAAACAAATGTAAAAATAACGAAAGTCGTTGTTATTTTAAAACACATCACCAAGTTATTTTTATTTTCCGTAATTGTTTTCATGAACGGATATTTTAGGTCGCTAATAATTTAACAATCAACTGCAGGTAACGGAATATTTCGTTGATTTTCAAAAATTCGTTAAATATCAAAAATATTTATAAAATTTTAAATAAAAAAACTAATCTTTAGGAAAGCCATGACCATCAAAACCATTTTAAAAACTTATTCTATTTTGAAAAAGTCTTTTCATTTTATTGAATTGAAAAAAATAGAAAACCAAAACATGAATATTTTTTCTAAAGTAAATAATGATTTTATTTCCGCAAAAATTTAGTAACAAATAATCAAAATCAGAAATAAAATCTTTTTCCAGAAATTAATAATTTTTAATCGTTTATTATGCTACATGTTTTCTTTTCTAAAAACTGAAAATTCTGTTTTAACAATTTAGTTCTGACACATAAAATGCAGATGATATAAAAAAATGAAGTTATGAATTCAGAATTTAAAACAATCAAATTCATCATATATCACGCAAATCATCCCCGTTAGTAAAAGTAAATTCTACCTATATGAAGCATAAAGTCTGATCGGATCAACCTTGATGCACCGGCTAGTCCTGTCCATAGAGCTAGGTTAAGTACAAACTGGCACCGGAAAGGTTGACCCGGCTCGGAAATTCAAATGTACAACGGCTGCCCGTGATATAAATATATCATTAAACTCTGAATTTCCTGATTCTAAGGAGAGTGTAGAGTTCTGGTATGTAGTGCAGGTTGTCAGCTCAAAAAATCTTTTTAAAAAATAATTTACAAAAAGGTAATTAGTTATTACAAATAAAAAAAATAACTATTAAGAACGCTGTTATTTTGGTTTGCAGTGTTATAAAGATTTTGGACAGAAATATTCTCTATATCTCGAAGGTTCAAGCCTTTTTAGATTTAATTTTGTCCCGAGCTTTAGCGAGAGACAAAATATAATCTAAAAAGACGAGAACCTTCGAGATATGGAGAAAATTTAAGTCCAAAAACTTTATAACACGCCGTGCCAAGATAATAGTGTTCTGGGTAATTTTATGGAACGTATTTTAATGGCTGTTTCTAGATCAAATAAGCTTTGAAACAAAGCAGATGTCAAAATATAAAGTTTCTTTCAATTTTATTTTTATTTTATTTCAATTGAAATATTTTGGAAATATCCTAAATTTTATGGAGAAAATCCGGGAACCAATCAAAACTTTATAGCAAACGTGCTATAATGTACAGCTAATTTAAGTTTATAGCACGATGATTACTTTATAGCACGTTCATTATGAAATTCATGATGGAGGGAGTAATAATTTTAAAGTATAGTCTTATAAAAGTATTTTTTTACTTTGTAATTTTATATTTTTTAAAGGTGTAAATTTCTACAAAGAGGAATATCTTTGAAAGGGTATAAATTCTTCGAAGCTCTCAAATAAAATTTGTATTTTAAAACATGCATGAAAGTTTTGTAAAAAAGTTTTGAATTTCTACCTAAAGAAGTTTAAGTTACAATTTGCAGGGCAATGAGAGTTGTAACTTTAGACCTACCACTTTTACTCGTTGTTTTTGTTCACTCTAAAGACGTAAAAAAATAACTTAAAATTTTACATTGAATGACTTTAATTTAAAAGAAACAATAAAAACATCACAGTCAAAGTTATTTATTTCATTTTATTATTATTATTTTATTTAAGATAATTGCTTACAAAAAGATACCATCGAAGTTTAGGGTTAAATTAAATTTGTATAATATTAAAAAGCACCACTGATTTGAAATAAAAGGCTTTTCTAATTTTTAATGAGTATCCAGTAAGTTTATGTTCATAAAATGCCCAACAATTTGTTTTAATTATTTCTTAAATTTTTAATTCCCTAAAAATCGCTAATCAAAATAAAAAATTGTGCAATCTTCTTTCTGTTGTTTTAGGCTTCTCAAGGAGATTACTATGTTGAAATCCAATAATTGGAAAGTGTAGGTAGGAATAAATATAGATTTATTCTGGTATGTGTAATTCAGGCATTCAGGTGAGTGGCATGTATTAGTTAGAAAAGCCAATAAATTTGTTTATCCTCAGACCAATACTTTTTTAATAATGCCGAAAAAACGTTAAGGGGGGTTTAGGGTTTACAAATAATGAAAGATATCCTAAATGAATGAAAGACAAAGGCGCAACGTTGGTTGCAACTACAGTAAGAAAATAATATATTAAATAATGGAAACATGATCTGGAATTTCTTGGTGAATTGATGCAAAATATTGTTATATATGATACTATCCCACAATGTGGGTGAATAGTTTTGAATGTCCTCTTCCATATACTGTATTAGAATTTTTGCAGTTTATTTAATTAAAAAAATCTTTTATATAAAACATATTTTACTTTATCAATTTTACTATAATATGAGTATGACTGCCATCTATTATTTCTTAATATTCTCTTTGGTGTCAAACAACTTAACAAATGAATGAAGTAGACATTTTAAACTATTCCCAAACTGTTTACAAGGATAACATAAATAGTATATGGCACGCTCGACATGAAATACCCAGGGACCGAATTTAATGAATTTCACCGTCGTCCCTTAACTACTTACTGCCGGGTCAAATTTCAACCACTGATTCAAACTTAAAGAAAAGAGAGAATTTGAATCGGTGATTAAAATTTGAACCGGCGGTAGGCAGTTAAAATTAAAAAGAGAAAGACATTTTAAACTTTTACTGTAACAAATATAAATGACATCCCCCTGCAGTCTTTTATTTGAATATTGGAATATGAATAGATAATCTTGAATTGAATATACACTTTGAAGTAGATCTTAATCTAAACTGATTTATAATTATTTAGGAGTATTCCATTTGCCGGATCTGAAAATAAACGAAATAGTATAAGATTTCCCTTCAAAGACATTTGTTTTTATTTCACTGCAGAAGGAATATTTGTATTCTTGGATAATTTTACAAGAGGTTTTTTAATTAAAGATATGTTTTTTAGATTTTTTTTGGAAACTACTTTTGAAAAATTAGCGGGGCTGAGTTTTAGAAAAATAGTAAATTTGGTCCGAAAAAAAACATCCTGCAAGTTAAAAAAAACGATTCACTTTTTAACTGTAGGGTTTGAATTGACTTTAGTTCAAATTTTTGTGGATTTAAAAATTTCTATTTTGTAATGAATTTACAAGGTAAAAGTTATTCTCAAAGAATTAAAATTTGATGTGAAAGTTTTCAGAATCCATGGGTTTTATGTTCTTATTTGCATAATGGAAATTATGAAACAAAATAAAATGTAAGACATAAAGCAGAGGTACATTTATACATTTATACATTTATACATTAATACATCTATACAATGTTTTTATTTACAGCCTCGTTATTTAAGATAAAAAAGCTAAAAAGCTAAAAAGCTAAAAAGATATCCCCTTTGTCCCATCCTTTCTTATAGACCCTCCCTCTCACAATAGCAAACTCCCATGATTATGCAATTCCAAGTTAGGTTAGGTCTGGATTGAAAGTAAGCATAGTTAGCATCCACATTTACCTTCAGAACTCTGTTGTACAAAACTAAACAGGTATTATGTACAGAATTCCAGAGCTCTGTTGTACAAAACTAAACAGGTATTATGTACAGTATTCCAGAGCTCTTTTGTACAAAACTAAACAGGCATTATGTACAGTATTCCAGAGCTCTGTTGTACAAAACTAAACAGGTATTATGTACAGTATTCCAGAACTCTGGTGTACAAAAATAAACAGGTATTGTGTACAGAATTCCAAAATTCTATTGTAAAAGCTAAACAGGTATTATGTTCAGTATCCCAGAACTCTGATGTACAAAGCTAAACAGGTATTATGTATAGTATTCCAGAACTCTGTTGTAAAAACTAAACAGGTATTAGGTACAGTATTCCAAACTAAATACGATTACGTTTTTTTTATTTAATTCAAATTCCTTATGTAAATTTTTATTTGGGATTTCGAAAAGGCCTTTTTTTAAAGACTTCTTTGTCTTAAAGCACTGGCCTGTCATTTTTTCGCAACAACTCACTTTGCAGAGATTTTTGCAATCTTTGGATGGCTTTTAGTACATTACCTTGCATTGCAAGAAGTGAATCCAGCCACACATTGATACCTCTCCAACCCTACTGCCACAACAGTCCAGATTGATCCACTTTAAAACATATTCAAATGTTAGCATTGCATCTTGACCCTCTAACCTTTTCTTTTTTATTGTTCACATTAAAGTCAGGGTTGGAGATAAGTAAGTTCCCATATATTCCCCCCCTAGGAAATCTTAATCAAATCAAATCTTCACAACAAGTGTTAATTACCCATTCATGAAACTTGCAATAAAGCAATCTGAAGGTTGAATTTTGCTATCTGATTGGTTTTTATATGTTAAATAAGTTATCAAATAATTATATAACAACGTTCATTTTAAATGAAAAACTGAAAAATAAAAGATTTTTTTGGAGGATTTCCAAAATTCTAAAATAAAATTTTATCTATCACAAACCTACCCTTGGGTCATATGAGGGGCCTGACTCAAGAAACTCTTACATTTATATTTTAGATCTCTCAAGGTGATTTTTTCTTTCTAAACTGTAAACTTTTTGATGGAACCACTTCTTTCAGTACAAGTCGAAAATAAATTTCACGGATTTTTTAAATTCTCAGTTTTTGCATTTCATGTTCCTTTGTTTAAGAAAAGGATTTTTTATTAAATCATATATTTTTGTTTATTTAAACCTCTACGCCAAATTTTTGGAGCTATGGCATCTAGATAAGAAAATTACATTAAACATTTTTTCTTTCAATGAAAACATCTAATGTCTGAAAAATCTGGGGAATTTGCATGATAAAGATAGATTGCGCATAAGACGACATTTTTCATCTTGAAAGATATAAATGTACAGAGATGTTTTGAAGATTTTCCTGTTATATAGATTAACTAGGTCGGTTGTGAACATTGGCTGTTCTTATGTCATTGAGTACTTGTGGTGTACATGAGTTCTGTAAAGAGAAATTTAAGTTAGTTTAGTCCTTCTCATGTCCTTCTTCAGTTCTCGTCAATATGATATATTGATAATTTGATATTCTCAAAATAAAATTCACTCCTGAGTGGTTTAATAATTATGAAATCCATTAAAACACAAAACCAACCCGCTTATCGTTGAAGTGCACTTTGACCCCTAAAACTATGAGTTCGAGGACTGTACAATTCTTGGTGATTTTGCGGACATAAACTATCTATTTTTATTTATTTATCTATGGGAATTTGTCACTTTGCTAAAGTCCTTCTAGATGATAAAAAGACTATTAAGAGTAATTTCAATAGTTTATGGATACAATTCCATTTTATGGATCACTTCTCAGTTTTATGAATCACTTCTCAGTTTTATAGATCACTTCTCAGTTTTATGGATCACTTCTCAGTTTTATGGATCACTTCTCAGTTTTATGGATCACTTCTCAGTTTTATGGATCACTTCTCAGTTTTATGGATCCCTTTTCAATTTGAGGAGTGGATTGTAAAGACAGTAGACTGTACTTGTGTCCACTCAGCAGTAAATACAAGTTTGTTACATCAACTAAAGGAAGAAAAAGAAAGAGAATGCTGAATCCAGACAGATAAAAGTTAAAGAATAACATAGTTTCTGTTTTAAAACAAAATTACAGGCTGGATGTCGTAATAAGTCACATTAATCCAGACTTTGTCGACTTTAACATGTCGCAAGGCATAAGTGTTTTACTTTCGTGTAAAGTCCTTAATGGTCCGGAATTTTACATTCATCATATAGCAACATTGCAACAAAATAAATAGTAACAGAAAAGACGTTATTGTGCTTTTATTTCTCTGTTACAATAAATACAATAATTTATGAAGAGCTATCATTTCAACGAATTCAATTCAAAGTTTAAAAAAATCTATTATGATTCCGCCAATATATACCCCCCTTTTATTTTGTGTTAAAACTTCCTTTAAACAGACAACATAGGCTCGAACATGTTAAAAGGTTGCTAATCTATTTTAGAGCTAAGTTCTGCAACACAAATTTCAAACTTATGATCCAGACGGGTTCCATGTATACTGAAACAGAGAACATTAAACTGAGATTTACAGGGTGTACCAATAAACATGGGAATTAAAACTTAAACTTAAACATCGTTTTTGATAGGTGTTAGTGAACAATGTGGTGTATATCTATATATAAATCTTTTACAAATTGTACAAAAATATCAGATTTTTTGAAACCCTATAATTTACATAATACGAGATTAATCAGAATTTAAGCACTTCCAAGATTAGAGACAGTTTGGTGTTAGCCCCCCCCCCTTCACCTTCCCAATCCCTCCCCGCCCCCCACAAATTTGACAAATATGCTGGCCATGGTTTCCAGTTTTTTCAAGTTCGTTCGAAAGATTATAAATCTGTCCTTTTCGTTTTATTTTCGTTCGTTTGTAAGAAAAAGATATTTTTCATTTCTCTGAACGACCAATCATTCGTTTGTTTCTGAACGACACTCTTTTTCACAAAAAAATGTCATTCGTTTAAAAAACGATGCCCATCTCTGAGTCCAAGGAAGCAGACCCCCCCCCCNTCTTTACTGAAGTAAAACTAAACTCCGGAATATTAGGGTTAAGAAAGAATAAAATTAGCCTTAGAGAAATCTGAATCCACGGAAGCAGATAAGGAAACAAATACGTGTTAATCCCCCCCCCACCTTTACTAAAGTAAAACTAAACCCCGGAATATTAGGGTTAAGAAAGAAAAAATTTCCTTAGAGAAATCTGAATCCAAGGAAGCAGATAAGGAAACAAATACGTGTTAATCCCCCCCCACCTTTACTAAAGTAAAACTAAACCCCAGAATATTAGGGTTAAGGAAAAAATTACCATAGAGAAATCTAAATCCAAGGAAGCAGATAAGGAAACAAATACGTGTTAATACCTTTACTAAAGTAAAACTAAACCCCGGAATATTAGGGTTAAGGGGAAAATTACCTTAGAGAAATCTGAATCCAAGGAAGTAGATTAGGAAACAAATACGGATGAACCTCTTGCTTCCAACCAACAAATAAAACAGGAAAACTAAAAATATTAAGTGTAATTTTTCTTTAGCCTTCTGTGTTATGATATTGTGCCCGAACACGCCTAACATTGTGTTCCTCATATCGAATAAACAAAACCATTCCGTAATAATGTAGCGGAGAAATCCACAAACAAGGTTTGATAAAATCCACATGTCAGTAGTTCCGAACTTCCGGAGAACATGAAAAGAACTACTAATCCTGCTCCTTACTTCCTTCTGTAAATAAATTTACTTTTCAATTGTTTTCCTAATCTTTGCAACCTTTGTGTCTGACTCCTAAAAGAGTTTACTTTATAGGGCCTCGCTAGATTAGTTTTACACGCCAACATTTGGTACTTTTCAATTATTTATAAAAAAGCAATTTACATTCCTTATCTACCATGAGTTAAGTTTTCAATAATTTAATTTATTCATTTTTACAAACACGAAACCCTACAACTTCTTGACGTTAAAGAAATATTTAAAAAGATGTGCATAGGTTAGGATCACAGTCAGCTAACAGTTAAGCTCACACGCAAACATTCGTACAGAATTTTAACTAGTTTCTTCTTTAATACTGTAGACAAAACAAAGTCTTTATATCCTGTATATAAAGTTGTAATCTATTTTTGGGTGTCTGTTTGTTTGTCCGATCATGACGCATTAACCCCTGAACCGATTTGCCTCAAATTTTGATTTGGGAACCCAGCAGGCCCACGGGAATGTTCTTAGCTTGGTTTTTGGGTCGACTTTAATAGCGTAAATTTTGTTTCTCGGTAAAATCGTTCAAGTGCGGGTAAACGGCATAATTGTAACCTTTGCTGCGCTTGATCCGAAGCTAGTATTATAAAACTTTACAGGAAAGTGCAAGGTTGATGAAATTTGTAAGGTGAAATCAAGGCCATTATTGGTCTTTTGATTTTTTTTAAAGAGGTATAGAAAAAGAGAATAGAATATATATTACAGAGGAATTTACTAGAAAAAAGTTTAAAACGGCCATTTTGTTGTACTGTTTCCACACTGCAGGTGTACTTCACATATTTATGCTATTTAACCTTTTGGGCCCTGGAACATCATTTTAAGAAAATCTTAAATTAATATTAAAAGAAAACCAAATTATGAAATAGACTGGTTTCATAATTGACCAATGATCATTTCACATAGATTCTATGCCTTTCACTTTACAAACGATGATTTTTCGTTATAACTAAAAATCAAATGATGTTTTTTATTCACCTAATTCATTATAAAGTTTATTTAACAGCTTTAACAAATTCGAAATTGAAATGGAAAGTCTAGGGAACATACTGTATTAATGTACTCTACTACATAAAATTTGTGAACATTTACAAGATTTGTACACTTTGAACTCCCTTTCAGGCTGAAAGGGACTGAAAAAATTCATACCGAGAGATTCTCTAAAATCCCCTCTAATATATATTAAATTCTCTTTGGGTATAGACAACCAAAGAGAATATTCTCTGTGTAGACAATGTTTTGGAAATGCCGCAACTATTTTAAAAATAAAATTCGCCTTCTAGTCGTCTGTGTGCTGTCATGTTTCGTGGAACACTCTAGAAAATTGGCATTTTTCTGGAAAGCAAGTTGATGAAGAGAAATATCTTGGATTCATGAATTAAATTAAAAGAATGAAGAAATTATTATTTCTTCACAATTGTTTCCTGCAGATCAAAAATAGTTTCCAAAATTACATTTCGATCAGACTTTATGTCTGCAAAGAAACTGAATACTTGCCTCAACATCAAGTTTTATAATCCTTATATCTTTGCAACATAGAGAAAGGAAACTTAGAGGTAAAACTTACCTCAGATGTACACAACCAACCACCCTATTAATTAATTAATAAGGGGGTCGGTTGTGTACATCACAATTTGTTTACGTATCTAACACTGTAAACTTTTATACAGAGTGGTCGTATGTCTAGGGGGGATTTTATGGATATCTTGTCTTAACATCAACAAACAATTCTGAACTGGAATGTACTGCAGTATAAAATCCTGTGTTTACAATATATATTAAGTGTCTATAACTATCATACAAATATTCAATTATCTACATTTAACCATCCAAAATATACAATCACTTTATATACAAGGTACAGTGTAAGATACATAAACATATCGTGATGTACACAACCGACCACCCTATTAATTAATTAATAGAAAGGTTATAATGCAAGGAAATCTAATTGCAGTTGTGTATACTCTGCGTACATATTGAAACCAGTCCTCTCTGAGTGGAATTTGTAAACAAGAACAGATGTATCAGTGTTCGTTTAGTATCCAAGGAGGAAAGAAGCATTGAATTTTGAACATTTTGATCTTTTACATCATAGTTTCCTATGACCAGAATATTTCATTGATTTTTTATGTGAAAGATGGATCCCATGTCAGGCTTTTACATCCGTCTTGTGTTTACAGAGAAAGTACACTACAGTACAAATGATTCGCACACCTCTCAAATAACCTTGCATTATAACCTTGATTAATAGGGTGGTCGGTTGTGTACATCTGAGGTAAGCTTTACCTTTCCTTTCTCTATGCTTTGCAACATAATGTTGCAAAGCTTTAGTATTTAAAACCTGGACTATTCTACCTAGCAGTTTTATAGTATACAATCGTAAAAGGTCTACGACATCAGAAATGGGCAATTCGGTCAATTAGCTTTCTTTGTTTTTTAAGATTTTAAGGTTTTTTAAATTTAAAAACTGTTTATTCTAAAAATTCGATATCAAATTAAACCCTGAGAGAAGATATATTGCAAGAACGAATAAAAAAACCTGTAAAACAAACAAAAAAATAACAATAAAAAAGCATGTGCCATTCCATGCAAAATCAAGTTTGTATACCTGAATCCAAAAGTACAAAGGACCACAAAGCAACCATCGAATAAAGCTAACATCATTAATATATTCCTAAATACAGACAAATGTATTCTGTAATTTGAATTTAAAAACACAGGAATAAAATATAAAAATAGTTTGATAACAAGCTTCAAAAATTTCTAAAAAATTCTAAAATTTTATAAAGATTGAATCACAAAAAATTTAAAAATTGTAGTGAGAAAATTCACAATTTTTAGTTCTGGTCTAGTTTTAAGGAAATGTTCTGTAAAATCTCTTGTTTCTTTCTTGTAAGTATATGTTCTAAAGTTATATACGCTGTTTAGAGGAAAACTGAGGAGCCATTGAAAAATAACTTTTCCTTAAAAATTAGATCAGAACTGAAAAGTGCGAATTTTCTTATCTACAGTCTTGCAAATTTATTGTGATTCTGTTGATTAACATTTATAAAATTTTAGAATTTAATAAAAATAATATACAAACACATTTTTTCTTTTGTGAACTTTTGATTTTGAGAGAAAAAAGTTTCGCGAGTATTTTTTGGGCAATTTGAGTACAAATTTTTTTTTTAAATTTTGAAAAAAATGCCATAATAAGAGCTGCATAAAAAAATATAATTTTTACCAGACGCTATTAATCACACTTCTTTTTGAATCACCTTGTAAATTACATTACGTTTACATTAACGTATTGTTAGTTATGTACTTTTTGATTTTATGAAGTTGATAAATCTATTCAAGTTTGGACAGCCTGTCATTGGTTTCCAATAAAACTAGCTCTAAACCTTGATACTCCATTTTCCAATGCAGAAATATTTAAATGAAATCAAATATAGTTTTTTAAATTACAATGTTAAACGGTTAATAGTAAAAAGATTGCCGTCTAAGTTTTTTCTCAGTTTTTATTGATTTGATAAAATGTTTCTGCCAGTTTTTTTATAAATAAATTAGTTTGCAAGTTATGATTTATTTGAGTCCAATTAAATTAAAATTAATTAAAATTTTAAATTTTTGGAATAACTTTTGTTTTTGAAGATCTACTGAAAAGAAAAAAAACTGTTTAGAAAGTTTCAAATATCATATTATATCAATACAATGAAGACGACTTTTTTCTTAAAGGGATAGTAAAGGAATAATGAAAGGGGGTATAGGCAGAAAGCTAATCACTTTAGCTCTTGATCGCGACCCATAAAAGTTTTATCTGATTTTCCTGTCTCGAGAAATTGATATAAAACTGTGTTAAAATTATACAAAAAATTCAAATATGTAAAATCTAGAAAATTTGAAACTTAAATCACGTGACCAGAACTATCACCAATGGCAGAGCAGTATACTGGTCACGTGTGTCCGCCTGTATCACGTGACCACTTTACTGCACTGCCATTGGTGGAATTTCTGGTCAAGTAATGCGGACGTGAAAATAATATTATGAATTAAATCTATTGAAAATAGAAATAACAAATATAAAAGTAAACCTAATTTACAATTAGCTTTCTCTGGGATATCATCGTTTTCAGATTGGTTGCTTATTTGGTGAATATTATCTGTTTAAACCCACTACTTTTGGAAAAGGTATTGTTATTGGGTGGAACTTAAACTTTTGCTAATTTTTTTTGCAACGCAAAAAAATTAGGAATGCAATAGTTCCTGGCGCCTCTGTTTCTGTTTTCTGCCTATTGTCTCAAATCAAGAACCAAATTTATAACATGTTAATTGAGCAAATCTGACCCTGTTCCTCCGTCTTCTCCAAACCCAGTCCCACGACGTATCACATCAATTCAGTTCTAATTGATACCACGGTAAACTGCCAGGAGACCAACCTGAAAACAGCTCTGCTATGGCTGCTCTCCTTCCGTTGATAATTAATAAACTAATAAATATGTAATTTTTATGCACAACCTGTCATATTTTCAACGGAAAAATAAATTATTAGATTAGATTAGATTAGATTTATTAATTTTCGTAAATATTTGACACAGTTTTATATCAATTTCTCGAGATAGGAGCATCAGATATAACTTTCATGGGTCGAGATCAAGAGCTAAAGTGATTAGCTTTCAGCCTATACCCCCTTTCATTTTTCCTTTACTGTCCCTTTAAGTTTTAATTGTAAGCAAGCTTTTTACAATAATCAAATCGAAGCTATTGTCATTGACAGCATCTCTTGACTTCTATATTTATGTGCATTCAGGCTGTTTAACAGCTTAATATAAATCCATATTTAAATTGAAAGTCGTCTTCATTGTATTGATATAATCGTCTACCAAAGTATGTGCATAATTTTTATGGTTGTGCTTTAACTCAAAACTGAAGTAGTCACAATTAGACAAGTCGCATGATTTTGACCTCCATCCTTTCGTGGATTTTACAAGCCACAAGATAAATAGAAACACAGCACAATTGTAAGAAAGAAAATGACAACAACCATTCTACTATTTACAGTGATACCCAGAAAACTCTGAAATAGAAAGACGACTTTTAAAATGAAGTTGTAACTTAAAAGTCCTATGAGTCCAATGAACATGAGATATAGCTATTGTACATCGTAAACAGACCCATTTCACTGAATTAGTGATTTAATAAGTGTCTAGTAAAACTATTTGCTTTCTAACAACATCAAATACACTAAGTATTGCTATCATGTCGTCCTCCGGTTCCATTGCTCTCTGGTTATCATTTTAGTATGGTTTTTAAAAAATACTCTTTTTCTTTTCTTTCTCTGTATGTAGAATTTTCTCTTATCTTGGTTGCCGAGAAATCTTAACCTTTTCGGTTCAAACTAAGCTATTATTTCAATTTTTTTTTATTTCTTCTATCTTGGTTAGGTTAAACTACTATTTGAATTGTTTTTTATGATTTAGGGCACACACACATTTGCTGACTTGGATATATTTTCTACATTTCTTCAAACAAAAGATAAATAAAAATATATTTTGATAATTGCTGTCTGTTCATTATTAAATTTACTTCATCAGTCCTATTATTCTTATAATAAAGTGCTTTTTCTTAAGGGGAAATGGAAAATAATGTTATGTCGATTGATTTCATTTCTCTATACTTTATGAAAAAAACTTAAAGGGACAGACCAGCAATATATGGTAGTTGAACTCAGTACGCAGTATTGTAGACATTTCGTTTAGGATTCATTTGAGACATATATGAAAAATCATGCACAGTGCACACTCAACTTTTTCATAAAACCGCAAAAAATACAGAGAGAGATTTTAAAAATTTTGTAGGAAAGAAATAAGTTTAAAATGAATATATTTTACTGATTTTGATGATAAGAGATTTTTTCCCCAATCTGTTCTTAAACAACTAATTAGTTTACTGTATAATTTTTACTTTATATTCAATCATTAAAAAACAATTCTTAAAATGTACCCACCCAAATTTATGATTTTGAACGTCGGCTTTGCACTAATACTCAGTATTTATACGCTGTAGAAACCTTTCGTATGTCTCAAATGAATCCTAAATGATGTCTACAACGCTGCATTGCAGTTCAACTACCATACATTGCCAGTCTATCCCTTTCAATCATTATATCAAAATAGAAATTGCAGTTCAACTACCATATACATTGTCAGTCTATCCCTTTAAATCATTATATCAAAATAGAAATTGAAGTTCAACTACCATACATTGCCAGTCTATCCCTTTCAATCATTATATCAAAATAGAAATTTCAGTTCAACTACCATACATTGCCAGTCTATCCCTTTAAATCATTACATCAAAATAGAAATTGCAGTTTATTTTTCTTGCCATTTAAAAAGATTTCAGACGCAAAGTTCTTTTCACAAACTCTGATTTTCTAATTCCCATATTTTTGCATCCCAATGTCGCAGACTTGGTATATTCCAAACTATGAATTCTGACAACTAAAAAGTAATCTTAAAGTTTGATATCACACCACCACAACCACCACAAGCTAACACAGACTGCTCATAAGCTTTATCCCGATAGCCTAATCATTCCTGCAGTGTCCCGGCACGCCATTCAACATGTTCACGAAAGGTTTCTTGACTGCCATCTAGCGGCCAATTGTTGCATATATGTAAGTTTTACAATTCTAAAGAAATACTCTAATTTTAAACATAAACCAAAAAGATTTGTGAATATTTACGCTATCAAGTTGCAAATATATAGGGATTAGAAAGTTTGAGTTTGTGGCAAAAACTCTCTATGATAATTTAACTAACCTAAATGCTAACTTCATGTCCAGTGCATGAGATTTGAGGACAAATAGGGAAGTGACGTTGACCACTACACCCATCACCGCTAACAAAGGTATCACTGAAACAAAAATCTACAGCATGTGGTGTGACCACATTAACAGGAAAGTTTAATAAATATTTTGAATAAGTCCTAAAAAAAAGAAAATACCTTAAACACAGATCTTTGTTGTATTTAAATTATTATTTATCACTGACAACTTGTACACAGCGCTAGCGGAATGAATGTCATGCAGTGAAAACCAGGAAACTGAGTACTAGGAAGACGACATTACTGCAAAACTTTTGTATATTTGATATTAGGTTACAGAGCAATAGTTTAAATGTTACATGTTCATTTAGTACTTTTTGAGTCAAAACTTGCGTCTAAAAGTCGTAATTATATTCCAGAGTTGTATGGTTCTCACTCTATAATAAGCTATTTTTTTTAGAGTACCCCTTGGGACTTTTTTGTTGAGAATATCTCTAAAAGTACTTTTTGCAAAAATGTTTTGATTCTAACATATATAATATATATAAATATTAATATAGATATAATATATAACATTGGTTCATTGGTTATCACTGTACTTTACTTACCGATGCCTTCAAGTAAAAATCTTAGGATTTCAATCATTCTCATCTGAATTATAAACAAAGATTAAATCAAAATAATAATAAAAAACAATCTTTATGAAATATATTTTTATTAGAGTTAGAGGAGGGTGCGTTCGGCTATATTGTGATCAGCTTTTTTTCAGTCGGTATAAGTAAAATTTGAGTTAGTCCATTTTTAGACTTATCTTTCATTTGCCATCTTTTTTTTCGTACTGAACAATTCTGTTCAATTAAATCATTCGTTCAGTGAGATTGTTTGTTCAGTATATTCATTTGAACAAACGATTTGTAAATGGTTCATAAACGGTCTGGCTAATTCTTAAAATAAAAAACAATAGTAAACGATTTTGAATCGTTTGTTTTGGTTTTTTCGTTAGTTTGTTTTTAAATTTCTTCGAACGATCCGATTTGTTTCGTTCATCGTTCGTTTGTTTTTCTAAACGACACCATCGTTCACGAAAAATTTTTTCTGCTTTTAAAATTTTGTTTGATTACAAAAACAATGCCCTTCTCTACTTGGGATTGGTTTTTAGCCCAATAATGCGGTAATATGGTCAAGCCGTCAGAATTTTAAATAAAAAACTATGCATTAAAATCGAGACTTTTTAAATATTGCAAAATATAATTTGTTCCAAAAAATTTTAGTTTACAATAAAAAATAATTTTAGAAAGAGGTAGAAGGATTGGTGCAAAAGAAAAACAAGTATTTAGTTTTCAATAAAATAATATCATTAAAAAATAACAATAAAATCATGTCTGTAGCGAACAACACAAAGTTTTTTCAGACACTCTTTAGGCTTTTAATTCATTTTATTCCGCAATGTTTTTGTTTTTAATATAATTCTCATAAACTGCGGAATTATATTAAAATTTAAATTCACAGTGCATATTGCCTTTAATTTCTATCTGTTTTAATCATATATAATTTTCACGATATAAGATACAAATTAAAAAGAAAATATACCAATTTCATTCCATATATCTAGTCAAATATCAGGTTATTAGGATTTATCAAATATTGGATATTCATATTGAGAACTAAATCTAAGATGTAAAATAAAAGATTTATTTCTCAATGTGAACGAACTTATAATGGGCCAAGTAACAATAAACAATGGTCGGATTTTTTTGTACAATTTAATAAATCAAAAAGACCTAGTTTTTGCTCAGTGTAGACTAATTTCAAATTAATAATCATATATCTACTTTGTATCTATAAGATATCTTAAAATCGAGAATTTATTTTGGCGACAAAATAAACGTATTTTCATAATCAAATCTAGTCAATAATCTTTTTCTGTGTACAAATATCAATTAAATATATTACGCAATTCGTTGATAATATAATCTCAATTACAAGTTTTATAAATGAAAACCAAGTAAGATTGAATTTTGTTTCATTACAATATATTAAATGTACAAGAAATGTAAATTTACCCAGTAAATTTAAATTAGAGTACACAAAACTAGATTAAACTAGGTTTGGTGTAAACACCTTTCTTCCAGCGGGGGGGGGGTGGTTCAAATATCATTAAACTTAAAATGAATCATATACAAAAACTAAATTTAAAATAGCTGCAGACAAATTTCTATTTTGGGTTGATTTTGTTTTACCCTATACAGGTTGGGGGGTCTGAATCTATGTATAGCCCAGGGACAGGGGGGGGGCGTTCAACTCCCCCCTCTTTCCGTAGAAAAAGTCTTTAGAGTACAAGTATAATGTTGAAATGCAAGTTTATAGCCCAATTTTTCAAGGGCAGCTCATTGAAAAAATTGTACCGCTAACTTTCATAGTTTGGGTGCTAGGGAGGGTAAAAAAAAAGCAAAAAATAGTGTCAGAAAAATCCATTACACATCTGCTATGGTAGGAAACCTATTTAGTATTGACAAAAAAAGTGTAGAGTCCAAAAAATATAATCGGTCAAACAGTTTTATTTTCATATTGTTTTTTTTTTTCACAATAACAATAATCGAGAATGAAATACTAATTAATATTATTGTATTAAATTTGGTTCTTTTAAAGAAAAGGATTCGCTAGTATTTTATAAATGAATCTCCCCTTTTTCATTATTTAAGTTCAAGACCAAAAAAGTTTTTTATTTCTATCTTTCTAAGAGAACACATTACATTTCAATCTAAAAACATCATTTTTTGCATCTCATGCTTGTAATCTCATAATTTTAAGATTGCTACATAGACAAAAAATGGATTCTTTGTAGGGAAGGAAATCGGGAAATTGACTTAATAGAACTTCCCAAAATAAGTTGTGAGGGAGTGTTCGCGAAAAAGAAAGGGGGTATAGGCTTACGGCTTTTGATCGGTTGGGATAGCTGAATGATCTGTTTGAAATTAAATTGATTGTTTTACGATACGAGTCGTATATTGCAACTTTCTGAATTTTGTATGACGCTACATTCTTCAGTTGTTTTTAACAACTTACTCCTTATAGATGCAACAGATAGAAGTAAGATTAGTAGCAATCAAAGGCGATTATTTTTCACAGTCAGCCTATACCCCTTTTTATAATTTGCGAACACTTCCTTTAAGTAATAAGTTAATTGTCAACCTAGAGTATGTTATTAGGCTAGGCAATGCATTTTTTCTTTAGCAGTGGGGAAACCATTGTTTCTCAAAACCAGAGCTAACACATATTTTTCTAACCTCAGATCCTCCTTTTTCTTAATCAAATTGCCCTTTTTCTTAATTGCAGAGCCCCCCCCCCCCTTCTTAATAACAGAGCCCTTTTTCATAAGTTTCCTTTTCTAATTGCAGAGTGCCCCTTTTCTTTATGAATCCCCTGCAGTCTCCACCCATATTGCTTAAAGGGTTCTCTGAAACTGAGACGGGGAATATTCTCATCCTCTCTCAGTCTCTCTCTCTCTCTTTCTCTCTTGTTCTTTTCTTTTTAAAAAGCAGGTATACAACCTCTGTCAGACTGATAATTGAATTTTGGTTTAATATCAATGGTCAAGTATTTATTTATGAGGCTTTCCAGACCCTTATAATATATATATGTGCAATATATACTTTGTTTGTTTGTCTATCTGTCTGTCTGTGTTCATTAATTAAACATGAAAATGGCCAGACCAATTAGGCTCAAATTTTTTGTGGCAACTCACATAAACCCAAAGAAGGTTTATGGATGGTTAAAGATGAACAAATTTTACAGGAAAAAAATGTCGACATTACTTATTTAAAAAATGCGCAAATTCAAACAAAAAAAATCCGCGAAATAAGCTGAACTAAGAAAAATGGCAACTTGAAGAGCAACGGTTAACAGTATGTACCCAAACCGAGCGAGGGTTAATAATCTAACAAAAAAATCAATCGAAAATATTATTTACTTCTATAACTTGCGGATTTGTTTTTCTTCGTTTTCCTTTCTAAAAGATAAATGTACATTGTCCTCAGATCTAAATGTGCTCATTGGTAAGTATGCAAATCATGTATTGCGATTAACCTTTATAACTCCGTCAAACCAATATTGTGATTAGCTTAACTACGTTATACATATAACGGCGCCTAACTTGTAATTACATCTATTAAAATTTAATCTTAATCTAGAATCTAAATAAACTGAGTTGATACAGAGACTCCACTTTGATTATTGTGAAAAACTAATTGGTCCTCGCTTGAAATTTAAAGTTTACAAGCTAGTGTCTGTGTTGATATCAATAGCTGACGAGATTGTGCCCATTGGTTAGGCAATAGGCATTGATAGTTTACGAGCTAATGTCCGGTTGACATTGATAGCTGACGAGATCGTGCCCAATGGTTTGGTATTGATAGTTAACGAGAACGTGTCCGGGTTTTGAAATTGATAGTAAAGTGAAACTGAGTTGTACCTGGATAGATACGGGTTTGAGAACACCTACTGAAGTAGGGCATTTACTACACACTTTCGTCTCAGTTCGTAGCAAGGAAGATAAACAAGGAACTCTTGTAGCTATGTTTTTAAAAAGGGTATATTAAATTTTCTTTATCTAAAATAATCAAACTTTACACTAAGTATACAGAGTTTGTTTATGTAGGTCTATATAAAACTCAGAAAACGGGATGATATGAGAAATATTGAAAATGGATAACCAATACCAATCACAAGCTAACAGAAGAAATGATTACAGGAAAAAATAGAAAGCAAAAGATTAAATGATAAGATTGTCATATATGATTTGAACATTTTTTGCTAAATTTTGTGACCATAGAAAGGATGAAAATTAAAATCTGAATAATTTACAAATGACAAAGGAACATTACACTGGTCTCATACTGAGCCTCTAATGGCCGACAAAACAAACAAACAAAACTGAAATAAACCAACAAACATGAACATTTATTTAGAAATATTGATGCTTCTAGAAAAAAAGTAAAATTTGATAAATGAAAAATATTCAAATTTATTGTTTAAAATTTAATTTTGCGAATAAAATATCAACAATCTAGAAAGCAAATACGGTGAAATGTCTAACTTTTTCCCCCGGAGTAAAATAAACTTCTCAACAGTGAAAATTAATCAATTCCCTGCGGATTATTACAGTACATATATATATATGTATGTATATATATATGTATATATAGATGGGGTGTACCAAAAATAATCGTAGTAGTGGCGGGCAGCCGTAGTACATTTGAATTTCCGAGCCGGGTCAACCTTACCGGCCTTAGCTTGTACTATATCACCTGGACATTGGTTAAATAAAGCAGGCACTTAATAGGACTAGCCGGTGCAACAAGATTGACGCAGTCAGACTTTAGGTTTAATTTACGGTTACTAAAGGGTCAGAGGTGACTGTGAGTAGCTAGAGCCTCAATTTTGATATAATATCTAAGATTCTAGAAAAAATTTTATATCTACTAAAAAAGGTATGATCGAAAGGTGTAACTAGAGCGAATTTTAGTCAAGTTTCAAGTTTTGTAATACCTGTGATGAAAAATAAGGGGAAAGGATTGGCATGAATCCTTGCGATTTCATGTTTATGATGTAATATATAGTCACCTTGGCCCAGACTAAGTAACTTGGA